AATAGTGCAGCCCCAATATATATACATGCATACACACATCTTTTGGTCTTTTTTTTTTTATTTATTCCTTTTATGATACAATTAAGCTATGGTTCTACTTTGTTTTGTGGTTTTAGGGGCACTTATCTCACTTAGAAGAGCCATGGGGTGGTGGTTGAGTGCCGGAACAGCTGCCCATCTATGTATAATTTGTCGACCACAAGAGAGGTCCTATTTCCCCTCTGCCTGTGCTCTTTTAGAATGGGATATAACACCTTACGCCTCATTGATTTCCCTGGGGAACTGATCGTTCATACCGAACGAAGTGCCTTTTAGCTCTCGTCCTTTACTCTTAACGAGCATTTTCTGCTGATAATGTTTGAATTTGGCGATGATCGGACGAGGATGCTGACCTCCTCGGGGTCCGAGTCTGTGGACGCGGTGAAAGGTGATGTTGTTGACAGTCTCCGTCGGGATCTTGAGGGCAGTCACCATGAACTTTTTTACCTGGACTTCTGGGTTGTCTGGTGTACTCTCCGGGATGCCAAAAATGAATAAATTGTCTCTCATACTTCTGAACTGCACGTCGAGGACAGTTTCCTTCAGGAGTTTATTTTCCTTTTTGAGGAGATCTACATCTGAAATGACCGCCGCTAAGGTGGAGCGGAGTTCAGCGTTGTTTTGCTGCAGGTAGCTAATCTGCTGGTAAGTGAACTCCAAGCTTACCTTCAGGTCTTTTATCTCCTGGTGAAGCATACCGAGCACTTCTAGCTTCTTGTTGATGGATTCCAAGATGCTAAATTCGGAGGATAATAAGTCTTGTGTATCGGTAGCGGAGTCGGTCTTCTTCCTCTTATTGGGGTTGTCGGCAGGACCCTCCATGACGCACTCGTAGTAGTAGTGATCGATAAACTATTCTAGGTACTCCACTCTGGCTGATGGTGCAGGCTGGAGTTGTCACCCGTTAGATAATTATATTTGTTTGGCTAGTTTGTTGATATCTAATCTAGCAGCTAGGCGCCGCCATGTTGAATCTCAGAATCTCAAAGTGGTCTTGCGGTCTCACGCTGCCATCCGGTCTCTGTGTCCCATCCGGTCCGCAACGTGGGACAGACAGCTCACCTCTTGTCTATAAACTCTCAAGTATGTTCTAGTACCCAATAATATCTTATAAGCCAATAATAAATGTGATGTATACTATTATTAACACTCATTAGGTCTTATTAATGTTAATAAACACCTTATTAATTTAATCTTATAGGGTCTTATAGTGGCTTATAAACCAGTAATAAATGTGGTTATCATTCTATAATTAACCCATATAAATTATAATTAATGTAAACAGACATTTTATTAATATTTAATATAGGTTTATAAACTGTTACCAAAGTTTCTATTAAGTGCTTATAATGCTCCTATAAGCAATAATAACTGTCACTTATGCTGTAATAAATCAATTAAATAGTCTTATTAATGTTAATAAGCAAAGTGTTCATTAACTTTTAATTGGTGCTCATTAAGCATTTATTAACGCTTATTACAGTACCTTAATATTAAGTGTTACCCAGAAGTCTTTCCAGAGCCAGAGTCACTTTTGTTACAGCCCGACAATCCGCTGTCTCACTGATATGTTCAGTGTCTTTGGGCTAAAGAAAACTGCCCCTGCCGAAGAATCAAAGGGCAATGCATAAAATTTGCTCCGATGACAATGCAAATCCACAATGTGTAATATTTGATGTATGTGGTTGGAACAGATTGTTAGATAAATGATAGTGTGTAAGGTGAAATGTATCTTTCATATAGACACTCTTCCAGGGAGGCATCCAAATGGGGTCTAATCACCATCTCCTTACACAAGGACAGCCTCTGAATAAACTGTGCACCAACGTCCACGACTTCATTCACAAAAGGACACGCCATGTTTCTCCTTCCTGCAACACCAGGCAGAGTAAGTTACCATAGTAACTGACTCAGGGTTTCGCTGACCTGGCTTTGTGAAACGGAAAACTCTGAGTTTCCCCTCATCTCAGGCTCAACTTAAGGCCCGTTTCCACCGCAGGAACTTCGGGGTAATTTTACGGGGCCGGGGCCGTTGGTGCGTGTCTCCACCGCAGGAACCACCCCCGAAGGACAGAGTTCAGGAACTTTTATGGGGGCTAAACAAGTCCCTGCCTTGGAGTAGGTACTCAGAACGGCCCCGAAAGACTCCTGGCTGGGGCTTGGGATTTACATGGTGCTGGTTGGATATACTCAAGGAGGGATGTGATGTCAACAGAAAGCAACAAAATAGCCGGCATTTTTAAAACTCAGCAGACGAGGGTTAGCTTGTTCATAGCTTCCGCCGCCATGTAAAAAAAACTCACTAAATGGCCCGTGAAAAAAATATTTTTTCCTGCGGATATCTTAGTTACAACATGATTGTGTCACAACACACCAAATTCTAAAAACTGGACCAGTTGGAAGCCACATCAGACCAAAAACCAGACACAGAGAACCACAGATTAAAAGAAGTAAAGCACAATTTATTTAAAATAGTGAAAAGCACTTTCAGACTGGACTGCAGATGGCGACAGCAAAGCCTTCAGTCACCAGAGGGGGGCTGGTTGGCTCTACAAAGACATACAAAAAGTTAAAAACAGGTCCAGGCAAGTGGGTCACCATAAAATCAAAAGAGGTTAAAAGAGGTTCTGTTACCTCAGCGCTTTGGGTGAGAACTTGTGGTCCCGACCTTTGTGGTGATCCAGGGGCTGGTCATTAGATTCCTCCTGTTCAGCATGTCAATTTAGGTTCAGGCAGCTCGGTCCTTCCATAGCCTGCTGATCATAATGTGGAAATCCAAGGTGAGAGGGGGGAGGGAGAGCACACATGCAGCAGCTTACTTTCTGTTGGCCAGTTAGCCTGAGCTCCTTTTTTAGAGGGTTTTTCCAGGTGAGGAGAGGGTTTCCCAGGTGAGGAGAGGGTTTTTTGTCTTTTTGTCCTTCACAGCAGTGTCTTGTCCTTTGTCCAGCTCTGTTCTCTGTGAGCTCTGAAACACAGCTTATACACACACACACACTCAGTCCACACTAATTAGTCAATGCCCTTCAGGTGTCACCTCACAGGGTGCATTCAAGTGCACTGCAAACTATAGGGAAATCCAAAGTTAAGGCTGGTTCAGGCTGTTCAGACAGGCTGTGGGCGTTCCACACTGTTTTAAGTCCAATTTCTTGACACCATCAAAGCAGTTTTTTGTTGCTATGTGTGGTATGTATTCAGTTTTGGGAAATCACGATGTCTAGAAAGCATCAGTGGCTGCAGCTGACAGGGACAGCTAACAGCAGCAGCAAAGCTAACATCAGGACGTCATCTGTTAAAAGCCTCCCATTGTCGGATACGACATGAAACTACTCCAGTTAGCTCAAGCATGTTGTAACTAAGACATCCGCTGGAAAAAAATGTTTTTTTCACGGGCCATTTAGTGAGTTATTACAGACACCGCTAAGGGCTATCAGCTAACGGTGTCCCTACATCGCCCCGGTAAATGGTCGCACAACGATTACGTCACATCCAGAGCCCGTAACTTTACAGGAACCGACTCCGCTCTCAGTGGAGACACGGTGGTTGAGAGGGTCGAACGAGAGGACGTTCCTGTAGTAGTTCCTGCCCCCCAAATAGTACCAGGAACTTCTTCAGTGGAAACGGGTCAGAGTTTTCACTAATCCTGCTTTCTGAAATAGAGCCCTGGTGACAACTTTTCTTTTCTTGGATTAGTAGCTGAGAACAGCAGAATAGGAATTATTCACCAATTGCTCTTAAGAAGAAAGTTTTTCTTACAACCCAATTATTTAGTTTTCACGAAGATTCTGACATTAACCAATATTTTTTTTTTTATTGTTTTTGTCCTGTTTTATTATTAGGGGTTCAAGCCCAAAGGTCTGAAACTCTATTGTTTTTGTCCTGTTTTATTATCATTAGGGGTTAAGCCTGAAGGGCTGACATTGAAAAGTCAGACACAACATAACAAGGAGGAACTGGGGTGGAGGCGTGTTGCAAAGCAGCTTGCAGAGGAAGCAGCAACAGTAGGCATGCCAGACCAGTTTAAATTGGGCACCCTGAATGAGATTTGCCAATTGGTTGCACAGAAGGGAATCATGTGATCTATCAGCTGACTCCTTCTCATCAATCAGCTGCTCCATCAGTTGATTGGCTGTTTGAGATCAACTGCTGGGATGTGAGCTGAGCTTGACATTGTGTCCTGCCTGAACTTATGCTATGCTCAGTTTCAGTCAGGAACACTTGAGTCAAAGAAAACTTGATTTCCATTTGCAGTATTATATTTGGCAGTATGGCTCTGCTCTGGGGCCCCTCTGCCTTTCTTCGGGCATGCGTAGAAAGCCTCTTTCTTGCGCCTACGTGGAAAGCATAAGCACATCTCTCCACCCTTCTGTGTGCCTACGTGGAAAGCCTAAAGCGGAGAGAGCACACAGCCAATTAGTCTAACTGGCCAGCCAGTTAGACTAATGAATTGCAATGAGGCGAATAGAACCAACATGGATTGCTAGATGATTAACACAGCTTGTGAGTTAATAAAGAGGGCCCAACAGATAAGCTATAACATCAGCCAGTAGTTCACAAAGCACTCATAGATACTACGCATCGAGGGTGACTTGAGTCTCGGGCCGGAGGTAACATTCATGAGCAAATGATGACCATCTGCCCCAGTAACAATGGATGCTGCAGTTGTAGCTTCTCCCATGCAGAAAGATTGAGCAGTATAGTGTTCATGTGGTAGCCCACCGGGCTGGCAGAGGCAGCAAAGGCAAGAAGCAACCAAGATCAGGACATGGGATTTTCCTGCTCTGTGAAAAGAGAGGCTTCTACAGGCTGGCTTGAGGCCAGCTTTTCAGCTAGTGAGTCATAAAAGACAGAGAACAAGCACAATTAGTTTTAGAAATTAAGATGTCGTTCCTCACCTATCCCTGTCAGTCTTTGTGAGTTGTAATAATATGGACAAGCAGTGAGGTTTAATGAATACATCAGCTACAGTGAGGTCATGCGTAGGATCAAAATAACCAGTGTGTGTAGTTAACTCACTGCCTCTTAAAACTTGGCTTGGGAACCGGAGGGTCGCTGGTTCAAGTCACCGCCCGGACCAAAATATGGAGCATGGACTGGTAGCTGGAGAGGTGCCAGTTCACCTCCTGGGCACTGCCAAGGTTGAGCAAGGCACCGAATCCCCCAACTGCTCGGAGCGCTTGTCCATGGGCAGCCCCCTCACTCTGACATCTCTCCATTTAATACATGTAAAAAGGTCCTATTTGTGCATGTGTGTGTATTTCGGGCTTGTGAATGTATATGACAACAGAGTGAAAAGATTGAATTTCCCCCTTGGGGATTAATAAAGTATATATAAAATTCAAAAATTGAATTAAAGTTAAATTAAAGTTTGTGGCACAGAAGAGACCAAATTAACACCTGACATGCTTATTGATCTTGAGGATGGCCCAAAGGCCGAAATGTCATTAAAATAAAAGAAATGCATATGGAGGCAGAGTGAGCGACACTTGTGACTCTGAGCAGGACACAGTATATAGGCTATTGTGAATACAGAATGCAGGTTGTTGTTCATGTGCAGGTGATTGTTAGACAGAGAGAAAACACTGCTGCTCTGTTACTGAGAACTGTATCTCTATCTTTATCATTATAAATGTATATAACATGATGTGTGTGCAGCAACAAACTTCATTAAAAGTTGCTATAGCTGTTAATAAAGCCTCAGTTGACCCACCTGTAATCAGCTGCTGCCATCGTTAGAAACGGACGTCGCTTCACATGATGCTTCAGAGGAAAGTCATATTTCCACATTTTTTCTCGCATCTCATCCTTGCATCTCACCCATGTGTCCAGCGAGGGCGGAGCTGAGACGCGAGGAAGAGACGCAAGTGAGGGAAACGTGGATGCAAGATTCGGTATTGGGGTGAACCCAGAGTGATACGTATGCTCCCTACTTATACATGACATCACTTCCTGAGAAACGTCTTGAAAACATCTTGTATACTTTGTGCAGACAGGGCAAGTTCTGGTATAAATGCCACGAAATAATCTTAAAATCTTGATTATTCAATCATACCATTGCAGATAAATTGCTCTTCTATCAGATTGTGAGCTGTGACCGTGAAGGAGTTGACTTCTGTCGAGTTATTTATATCTTGGTACCTCCGGTGAGTTGAAGCACATTTCTTGCTAGCTCTGGCCTGCATTTCACTTACTTGTGTCAGAAGAGAATAGGTCATATATGCTGTTTATGTGATGATACTTTTATAAATTGAAAACAGTCGGAGTTACGAGAAGGTTTTTTAATGTTTCTACTATACTTTGGTGCATTTTGTATCATCGTATGAATGTTTAAAACGATGCTAATGCTAATTGCCAAACCAGTTGTTGTTCTGTTATGATATACTTTTTATTAATCCCCCTGAGGGGAAATCCAATTTTTTCACTCTTGCTGTCAATTACACACAGGTCTGAACACACACATGCACAAACAGAACCTATACATGCACTAAGTGGAGAGATGTCAGAGTGAGGGGGCTGCCTTGGTCAGGCGCCCCGAGCGGTTGGGGGGGTTCGGTGCCTTGCTCAAGGGCACCTCGGCAGTGCCCAGCAGTGTATCACTATGTTACAGTTATGCTAAAGGCTAATTAATGTTAATTGCCAAGCTAATTGCTAAGTCTGGTCAGCAGAGCAGCAGATAGTGTGGTAAAACCTTCAAGGAGTATTTCACTTTTCAGTCAGTCAATCAATTTTATTTATAAAGCCCAATATCACAAATCACAATTTGCCTCACAGGGCTTTACAGCATACGACATCCCTCTGTCCTTTGGACCCTCACAGCGGATAAGGAAAAACTCCCCAAAAAAACCCATTAAAAGGGAAAAAAAAAAGGTAGAAACCTCAGGAAGAGCAACTGAGGAGGGATCCCTCTTCCAGGATGGACAGACGTGCAATAGATGTCGTACAGAACAGATCAACATGATAAGTTAACAGTAATCCGTATGACACAACGAGACTGAGAGAGAGAGACAGAGACAGAGATATGCAGGACAGACGGTAATGACAGTAGCTTACAGCAACATTAATGAAAGTAGTAATATTATAATTAATAATAATATATTAATATCTGATAGTATACATGTGTGACAATAATCATATGTGTATAATAACAGTAGAAGTATGACTGATGATAACAGCAGCAGCAGGAGGCATCAGGACCACGGCAGCAGCACAACCACACACGTCACACTATCCAGGCACCGCTGCAATACGAGTAAACCTGAGAGACAGTGGAGCACAAAGGCTCCAGAGAAGTGACATCCATAATGGCCAAGTTAGCAGGATGCAGTAATAGGACACGAGAGAGAGAGAGATAGAGAGAGAAGGTGCCCAGTGTATTATAGGGGGTTCTCCGGCAGACTAGGCCTAAGTCAGCCTAACTAGGGGCTGGTACAAGGCAAGCCTGAGCCAGCCCTAACTATAAGCTTTATCAAAGAGGAAAGTCTTAAGTCTAGTCTTAAATGTGGAGACGGTGTCTGCCTCCCGGACCGCAACAGGAAGATGATTCCACAGGAGAGGAGCCTGATAGCTGAAGGCTCTGGCTCCTGATCTACTTTTAGAGACTTTAGGGACCATGAGTAACCCTGCATTCTCAGAGTGCAGAGTTCTGGTGGGATAATATGGCACTATGAGCTCTCTAAGCTATGACGGAGCTTGACCATTTAGAGCTTTATAAGTTAACAGTAGGATTTTAAATTCAATTCTGGATTTTACAGGAAGCCAGTGCAGAGAAGCTAAAACAGGAGAAATATGATCACGTTTCTTAGTTCCTGTTAGTACACGTGCTGCTGCATTCTGAATTAGCTGGAGAGTTTTTAAGGAGAGTTACAGTAATCCAGCCTTGAGGTAACAAAAGCGTGGACCAATTTTTCTGCATCTTTTTGGGTCAGGATAGGCCTAATTTTCGCAATATTATGCAGATGAAAAAATGCAGTCCGTGAGGTTTGTTT